CTCAAGTGGTAGAGCGCTCGCCTTGAGCTGAAGAGCTGAGGGACAATGCCCAGGCCCAGAGTTCAAGCCCCACGACCGACAAAAAAAAAAAAAAACAAGTATGAAAATGTCACAATGAAACCTATTATTTTGCACAATTCATATGTCTAAGAACAATAATATAGCATCTGAGCGGGTATACATCAATTACAGCCAAATAATATGACACTCTGTATAAGGGGCTTGAACATACACAAATTTTGGTTTTTCAGGGAGTCCTAGACCAATTCCCCACACACCAGCAATTGGCTATGCTTTAAGTCATCTCGAGATGACTTTAAATACTTCATACCATGTAAATGCTGTATAAATAACTGTTCAGCTATACTTTTCAGAAGTAATGTCAAGAAAAGAAATAGTCTGTACATGTCTGAGGCAGGTGTGATTTTTTTTCTGAAGTTTTCAGTCCTCAGTTGGATAAATCTCCAATTCAGAACCCACAGGTAAAGCAGGCTGTCTGTAATTCCTTACCTACTTAAGCATGATTAAGTGTACGAAGAGACACACAGAGAAATCAGCCAAAGGGGTTTTAATAAAGCTCAGGAATCTACAAAGGAAAGGCTCTGGGTGGGGTTTAGCCTCATTTCTTTTTCAGGTAACAAGTGGCTGGTTCTTGGGCTTCACGCAGCATAGTTTGCCACTTGGGCAGAAAATGTAGATCTTCTCACTCCTGTAGCACTGCTCACGGCAGATCCCACGAGAATTCCAGCATCTCTCAGTGCTGCCTAAGCAGAGAGTAGAAACAGTCATGAGGGAAAATGAATTCTGGACTGAGACTGGGGGTGGAGGGCAGTCAGTAGAGGAGGAACCACAGAGTAAAGGAAAGTCCCTGTCAGAAACTTCATATGATGACAGTCTGCATCTATGGAGACCCATCCCAATACCAACCCTTCAAGCAAGCAAGAATGCTCCCCCTTCTGGGTGAAGCAAGTTATAGTGGTTAAGGCTGTGGACCCATATCTCTGGACTTGAAATCCATCCGTGTTACAAATCAACTAGTAGACCTTGAGCAGGTCACTTCCCTTCTCAAAGCAACAATTTCCTCTTTTTGTGGGGTGAGCTGGTCCTAGGACTTGAACTCAGGGCGTGGGCACTGGCTCTGAGCTTTTTGGCTCAAGGCTAAAGCTCTACTGCTTGAGACACAGCTCCATTTCCAGCTTTTGGGTAGGTAATTGAAGGTAAGAGTCTCCGGGACTTTCTTGCCCAGGCTGGCTTCATACCACCATCCCCAGATCTCAGCTTTCTAAGTAGCTAGGGTTACAGGCGTGAGCCATCAGCACCCAGCTCAATCTCCTCTTTTCTAAAAGGAAAATATAATATATGTAATAATACATAATAATAAATATATAAAATACATAAAATATAATGTCCACCTTGTGAGGTTTTGATTAAATAGTATTTTTAAAGCACTAGCATTAAATAAATACAAAATGTGAAATGACAGGACATCAGAAAGAATTCAAACTTCTACAAATTATTTCATAAGTAAAAAATGTTAACTAACTTGTTGGACAGTGATGGCTCATGCCTGTAATCCTAGCTACTCAGGAGGCTGAGATCTGAGGATCAGGGTTCAAAGCCAGCCTGGGCAGGAAAGTCCATGAGATGCTTATCTCCAATTAACCACCTAAAACCTGGAAGTGGTGGTGCTGTGGTAGCCTTGAGC